AGACGAGCTTAGGGTTCATGTATTGAGAACCTATTCTCGCGTTGGTGACCCTAGCTCGCTAGCTAATTTGCGCGATTCTGGTAAGTAGTAATCTCGCGTTACTGACTCTAGCTCATCCGCTAATTCACTCAACTCTGGGCGATAGTAAGTAATTGCTCTAATTAACAACGCACATCGAAGTCATGGACACTGCTGAGTTCTTCGGTTCGTCGGGAGATGTAGATCTCATCATGAGATATATTTCCTTCGAAGCATGACCTTGCGAATTTTTCGATGGACACTCCTACGCGCCTAAGATCCAACGACGAGATTCATCGATTTCTTCCTTACGAGTGTTTAAACCTCCCGAATGTTTCAGCTATCTCGTAGTTCTGTCAGAACTACGGCACATCTCTATGCCTCTAATCATTGATTACTAATAATCACATCTCGCTGTTCATTTTTCGCCCTCTTCTTGAGTTTTTCTTTCTTTTTTCCAAATTTCCTCCAAAATTTCCATTTTTTTCCGGCGGAAAATAGGCATTCTTTCCTTCAGAAAAAATAGCCTACTTTTATAAGAGAATGAAAGAACGACCACCCTCCGTGGCCGTTCTTTCATGCTATGTCTAATAGCCTTCTTACATCTTCTGAGATGTCTAACAGCCAAGCTTGAGATCTCACGGGAAGACCAGAGGCACATGATTGTTACGAATGAGCGGGTGACCATGCTGAGACCATTGTCAGAGGTATCAGTGTCCTTGCTATGCCAGAAGATTGATTCGGAACCAGAAAGCTGCATAAGAATGAGCAATGATAGCCCTGATTGAGATGCACTCAGGCAGCACTCCTGCCTGAGTGGCTCAGCTAGGCGTACAAATGTATGCCTTTAGGCCTACAGAGCCGGGTGCCGGGAGGCAGCAGGGCGTACTAGTGCCCATGGTTGTTCAGGCGTAATACGCCTATACGACGTACGCTTATACTATAAGCGTACGTCTAGGGGAGTGCTATGCTTTAGCAGTCTTTAGTTGAGTGTTGATAGTTCCAGATCGGAACAAACCATTCTTAGCAGTTGAGAGTCTCAACTTCAGACTTAGCCTGGGATTCGAACCGCAATCAACTCAACAGCTTTTAAGCGAAAGGGGAAGTTGTTCGACCGCGATGCAGTCATTAATGGTTGCCCGATGGCGGGAGTCCTCCCTCTGTCCTCCTAATCATAGCAAACTACTGAGATATGACAACTAATTAAACATAGGTTATGGGAAGTAATAAGATTTGATGACCAATTTTTGTTAAGTACATACACAGAAGACGCCACGGGAAATACTCGACTCGAGTAACTGGAGGATGGGACAAACGAAGAGAACCTATAGCTGAAGCCGTCTCTTCTTTGGCGGCCCAGAGGAATCGGGGTCCCCTGTACCGCGACACCAAATTGCGAAAGCATCATCAGTCGCCTTCCGGATGCTGTCCATCACCTTTTGACCATGATCCCCTTTCAATTGCTCAATGGTCGGGAAATCAGGGCATCTTATCCCAACTTCAACGTGTTGAGCAAGGCGGGCGCTATCCATAGTTTTTCTCAACCGAGTAGAAACTCGGGTATATGCTGAAAAAGCTCGTTCACAGCTTGCAGTGGATAAGAGGTTAATAAGAACCGTACCGGCAATGATGGCATGGGAAGGGAATTGGTCAGCGCTGCTATCGCCAGCGACAAAGGCTCGGAGTAGGTCCATGGTGGTCGAACTGTCACATGCGACTGTGGGACAGTCTATGCCGCTCCATTTGAAGTGCTTCTGTATGCACTTAAACTCAGTACGCATAGCGTCTTCGCATAACCCTAATCCGCTAGCAATCTTCATGGCTTGGTGTTGCCATAATTGACCGCCATAATGGGTAATTTGTTGGATGGTAACCGCGTCGCCTCGGAACCTCTCCTTGAGATCCTCTGCCAAGTCTAGTGTATATTCACGGCGAACATCAGAGCCGGTCTTGATGATTACATTCTTTGCCCTTCGATGTACTGGTGGGTCGGCTAGTTGGAGTCCGTAAACTCGGAGACTTTCCTCATATTGAGGGACAAACTCTGCGGCAAGCCTCTCCACAAAAAATGCGGGTCTTCGAAACTCGCAAGCTCCGCTATGATATCGGTGGTCTTCCTCATTGCATAGTTAATATCAAGTTTAGTACTTTGAAATGTCACCGACAGCTGGTTGCATTTGTGTAGGATATATCTCAGCCCAACCATCACTACTATAGTTTTGCGATCGAGGAGCCGGTCTAGCACGCGGAGGGAACGGGCATGATCTTCACTGACATATGATCTCTCGGACATAATCTGCCTCAAACTATTGACTAAGGGGCCCAACTGTTGAAGTACACGAGACAGAGAACTCCCTGCACTCAGCCAGCGTGTATACGCACACTTCAAGAAGGATCTGTGAGCAACAGTGTCACAGTAACGCTTGGAGTCCGTTTAGTTACCTGAAGCGCTCCCCCTCCTCCTCACAAGCGCGCTTGAGGTCGATACTTTTTTTATTCGAGCGACTGTAAATTTGGTGTTCCTCTGTCACTAGGTCGAGTACACTCTTTATTTCAACGTACTTCTCTGCAACTTTCTTGGCACTCAGAGCAGTCGATGGGCACTATCATACGAATATGATGGAATATGATCGATGTGACTACATCATGTAGCACACTCACCGGCAATGGCTCCACTGCATCTCCTTCCCAAACTTCTCTCGCAAGATAGCCAGAGCCGTTTTGCTCACCCCTCTTGCACCATCCCCTGACAATAAATTTCACGGTTTAAGAGGATCCAGAGTGAGTGAGCGAGGCTCTCTCACTGTAATTGCGTTTTTCCTATTAGTACCCCCGAATATCTTAACGCCTCTCGGAGGCAGTCCTGCGCTAGCTATAGCAGAAGTCACAACGCCTGCAATTTTTTCACCGTCGGTCCCCTCTATAGGACAAGTCTTGAGTATTTCCTCCTCGACGGCCTCATCCTCCCCTATGTATCTAGACATGATAGCACATATGGTGCTGGGAGAACGAGTAGAATCGTCTACTTACCTTATAAACGCACACGCATGTGATGTATTACTGTAACTGCTTTCGTCAATCAAGATACAATAAACGGGAATCCTCTCAACGACCCTTTTAACTTTGTTCCACGCGGTTCGCCTCATAGAAATGTTATAACAGTCTATGAACTTAGCCACGGTCTCTGTTGATCTATAGTGAGCCTTATCGTCTCAACCCATACACCAGTCACGGAGTTTCTTGGCCTCCATAGATATTAGACCAACAATATGATTGAACTCGGAGAGGGCTACCTCGTTTGCAATGACCCATAGTGCTATGGTCATTAAACGCTTCAAGAACCATGCATTGCTATGCTTCTGCTGGACCGTAATATATCTTAGTCTGTCCTCCATCATTGCAAACTCTCCACCGGAAGCCACCAACGTACGATGAGTCTCTTTTTTGCTGTGTGGGACGGCTTTACGCCTCAAGTCCCCATTAGAAGCAACTGCCTGGTTTGTCAAGAACTCTGTTGTGCCGCACTGATCCAATGTTTTGATGAGCGAAGCACTAGATGAGCAGTATCGACACAAATAGAGCGTGGTACCCCTCCCATTCTGGCCATCTTCTTGCATGCTCCTGCACGGAATTAAGAATGGAAACTCATCACGTAGAGTCTTCTTCACTTCTGATAACTGTTCGCCCTTCGAAGACTGGCTGTGATTCTGGGCTGGTAACGTTACTTTTTCTGGTAGATTGCCGGTCGGTGGCTGATGTGTTCCTGACATAAGATGTGTTCCAGTTCAATTGATATATTTCTGGGCCATGACCCATGGCCCATGAGCTTCCGGCAACTGTGTTTACCTTTCTCTGGATTCCCAACATCTTTGGAGGATGAAGAGGAGGAGGAAGATGACCCGCCAGCGCGACTCATCAAGATAGCAAAGGCATCGAGAACCATACGAAAAAGAAGGAGCACCTGAACCCATACCGACGCGCATCAAAAAATCGACACAGACTGTGTCACACAGTGCTTCAATAGAGCTCTCTCAAGAGGGCTAGTGTAAGCCGTTTGCCCTGACCCGTACAACTACTACTATGGACGCGGAAAACTTGAATGAAGACTGTGATATTGGAGACTTCCAGGACCTCGAGGATATGAATGACATAGCAGCCGCAGGGCTGTTAGACGCCTATCCGCTGGCTGACCATTACAATCCCTTCGAGACTCTCTCAGACAATGCATTCTTCGAGAGTTTCCGGTTCCAGAAGACAGCTTGCCTCGATGTTCTGCGAACGACAGTGCCACACCTTCCTCAGAGGGCCTCCCGGCGCACCGGAGTTCAGCCATTTATGCGAATACTTTTTACTCTGCAATACTTGGGAACGGGTAACTATTTCTGGTGTGTCGGACGCGGTCTGAAAAAATCAAACTCTTCATCGTGGCGATATATCAAGGATGGTCTGGCTGCTTTGTCGTGTTTTGCTGTTGTATCGCGTTGGATTTCATGATACTCGCATGAGGACGCGTCGGCTATGGAGAGAAGGTTCCGCCAACAGCGTCGACTTCCTCTGGTGATAGGAGCGGTTGATGGGTCACAAATGCCAATTCTCAGCCCGGCGAACCATGAGGAATCTTATATTAATAGGAAGGGATGGAGCAGCATCAACATGATGGCAGTATGTGACCTCGATGGAATCTTTCGATATGTTGATGTACAATGGCCTGGATCCACTCTGAGTGGACCACTCATGATTCGAGGGTATTCACCAATAGCTCTTTGCCAGAACAGCTGCAGCGTACTGTATCTTGGGTGATTCAGGTTATCCGTGCAGGAGCGCCATACTAACCCCTTATAAGAATAACCACAATCCGCCGCTGAACCCAGTGCAAAGTCGATATCAGAACCGTCTGTGCGCCGCAAGAGTCGTCATCGAGCAGGCCTTTGGGAGGCTGAAAATGAGGTTCAGGATTCTTCTATCCGATTACCGTGGGAAAGTTGACACCATGCCGACTGTGTGTTTAGCAGCATGCGTACTGCACAACATGGCCGAGAAGCTGAAACAGCCGGTTCGCGAGGTCCCTGCCGCCGAACTTCGGCGGCCGAAGATCCCCACTAGCAGTTACGTCATGTGGACGACGAACCACTGATTGACGGTGGATTAATAGCGGATGCTGTGCGGAATGTGTATGCCGAAAGACACTGTACCATTTGATTACATGACTGCGTTTTCTGATATTATTATTCCTTAGCTTCTTGTTGCGTTCACGATAGCTCAGCAAACTAAGCAAAACACAATCATATGGAAACCTACACATTGGCAGTTCAACACTGCTCCCATTATTGAAGACGAGCCAACTTTGCTCAGTAATACTGCTCCTTCGCACGCGCGGCTTCTTCTTCAGCTCTTCGGGCATTCTGTCCTGCGATAACTTCCCTTTCTTGAGCAGTGAGCAGTCGTATCTTAGCCGTATGCTCAGCTTCGATCTTAGAACGCTGGTCTTCGATTTTCCGGATTAATGCTGCTGTAGGAGTGGACACACTGTCAGCAAACGGTGTCATCTTTGACATCGGATATGACGTATCTTGTCGCATTCCTTTCGACGAAGATGATTGAAGTGCTGGCAGAGTCATAACTTCTTCCATTCTTGCCTGTCTCCTATCCACACCGGCCGTCCCCGAAGCTGTGGCCGCCGCTCCTGCAGCCCCTAGCCTAGCCTAGCCTAGCCGCTTCTGCTTCTGCTTCTGCTTCTGCTTCTGCATCAGCTCGGAAGAAGACCCCCACGCTCATGGTAGAGTCGGGCGGATCTTGCACGGCAGTAGCACCAACCGCTGCTACGATACGGTCAGCCATCTCATCTCCTTCGCCAACATACGCTTGCGAATCTCCGCCGCTATGTCTCGTCTCATCATGACACTGATCATTGCTCGGGGGATCAAAAAGCTAGAGACGCAATCCAAAAGCTAGATACGAGTGTAAGATTATCTTACAACTGAGTATTATCTTACTAAGATAATACTCAGTTGCGGTCGATAAGGTTGACAGGAGTGCCAACAGTAATCCTGAAAAGAATCAGTTGTGATTTTCCTCTTGACTTAACAAAACCATGCTTCATTCGCTAACAGGGATAAAGGAAGAGATACTGATATGATGCTCAGATATGCACCACAATAGCGTAATACGTTCAAGAACATTACCTAGCGAGGAGAGACAAATGCACAGCCTAGCTCAGAATATTACACAAGAAATATCACAAATAACATACAGTATCTTTGTCGGAGGGAGTTCACTACCCTCCCACGGGAGAATCTAAATGCAATCTAAGTATCCTGACGCCTGCGCACATGACGAGATTGTGCAAGTGAGTTCACAGCTCAGCAATGAATGATTGTACAGAGTTGCTCGCAACTCGGGGAGAATCTTGTCTCTTCTCATTGGGGTAAGACGTATAATGCAACGGCCTCTAGAACGGTCAATCTCTAGAGTCTAGCGTCTAGACCGAGGAGCTCGTTGGAGGTGGCTGACTCGGGCTCCCGTTAGAGAGTTTATGACGAGGGACACGTCCAAATCTAATTGGCAG